TGTTTTGAAGAAGAACAAGAGGAAGTTGGAAAATGCTCAGATAAAACCCATACATGACAAGTTCCTATTTGCTCAGAATGGTATAACAGGTCTAATTGCACCACCTGGGTCTGGTAAGACTTTCACTTATCTTAAAATGGCAGCACAACAACAAGAACTAGATGAGAAGAACCCATTCTATGAGTTAGTTGTTATTTGTAGTACTTCTGGTCAATTCGATCAAACCGTCAATTCGTTCAAAGATATTATAAAGAAGTCTAAGTTAGTATGTATAAAGGATACTGAGTTGTTAGATTGGATAAAGAAGTACCAAAGAAGAGTTTTGAAGTATAATGCTATAAATGAGTATATAAATTCTAAGTTTAAAGACCCAAATGAGGAAATGCAAAGAATATTAGAGAAGAAACACTTCAGAAACAAACAGAAAGAGATAGAATACATTTCGAAGAAATTGCAATCTTACGATTGGAAGACATACCCTCATAGATGTCTTCTTATCTTAGATGATTTCGCCTCTCATCCTTTGTTAAAGAACAGAGAACAAGACATGTGTCGAATTCTTAAGAAGCTCAGACACTTTAACATCTCAGTTGTCATTTGTGTACAGACAGCAAAGAGTTTAAGTAAAGATGTTAAAAGAATACTTACTGACATTATACTTTTCCCTGGATTGTCCGAAGACGATTTCATGGAACTTATGAAAGAGTCCATGGCAGGTAAGTTTGACAGACATGAACTATGGGAGAAGTACAAAGTCATACAAGACCCTCATACTTCTTTCAGAATTCATATCTACGCAAACAAAGTTCAAATTGTAAAAAGTCAAGCTTGAAAAATAAAGAGTTTAGTCTTAGTCTGTTGTGGTTCTGCAGCTTTCGGTTCTTCTGGCTTTGGAATGGACTCGGTTGGTGGTACGTCGGACATTCGTTTGTGTCCTGTCGGAAGGAAGAACTTTTCCAGTTGTCGGGAAATTTTTTTCCAGTTGTCGGGAAAAATTTTTCCAGTTGTCGGGAAAAAAGTTCTCAATTTTCGAAAATTTGAATGGTTTACGGACGGACAACAGGAAATTTTTTTCCAGTTGTCGGGAAAATTTTTCTTGTCGGATGGAAAAACTTTTTCTGTCGGATGGAAGAACTTGGAATGTCGGAAGGAAGGACTCGGAATGCCAGCAGAAGGATTTGACAAGACAATTTACCTTATAGAGCTACCTGAGCCATCTGAAGTCAAGCGTAAAAATAAATGGTTCATTTACTCTGCTTGTTTGAAGTTGTCAAAATACTCTGTTATTTTTTCCTTTAACAATGGCAAATCTTCTTTGAAGGTAAGTATTGTACAACCTTTCATATCATAGTGTGTTTGAGGTAAAGTATCTTGAACTATTTGTTTCACATCTTCATTCGGTGTCATTGAAATCGGTAAGTTTTCGCGATAGAACCAATTTCTGTCAGATTTGTAAATCTTAGCAAGGTCGTAAAAGCTTTTGTTGTTTCTTCTGACTAAATGCAACATAACCATATCTCTGTCTTCTTCATTTTCCATCTCTTCAGTATAAATCATATACTTATAGTTCTTTTCCTTTCCTTTTGGTACCGAACGTGGTATTCTTTTCTGTATGTTTTTGTCTTTTGCTTCAATGACTTCATCTTTTGCTTGAAGTTTCTTTTCCATCTCTTCACGTTCTTGTCTATGAATTTCATCTAACATCATGAAAATATAACAAGCGTAACGAGGTGAAGCCCACATTGCAACAGCATTTACAAGAAGTCTATGTACATAATATCCTTTCAAACAAGGAGCCAAATTCTTGCGATTTTCGAATGGAATCTCTTCCCTCGGTTTTCCGAGGGAAGCAAACATATGAGGAAATTCTTCTAAAAGTTCTTTTGTCTGTTGGTTTTCAAACCAATGGTATGCTTGCTTTGTAGAACGAAGAGTATTCAAAATACTTTGCATTTGGTACATGTCATCTTTGACCGAACGAATGAGACGGAGTTGTTTGTTAAACTGAACCCACTCATATTCTTCATTTATAGCTTCATGGACTATAACTGTTGTTGTGTTCTCTGTTGTTGACATATCTGTTTCTTATATACAGGATAAAAAAATATTTTATAAAAAACTAACTTTATTTTTTCTATCTTAAGGAAATTCATGATTTCATAGAGTTTTGGCGACCCCGAAGGAAGTCGGTCTAGAGAAATTTCACTGTTTTTCGTACGGAATCTCTATCCTCGGTTTTTCGAGGGTAGCAATCTTATGCCATTTTACTCAGATTTTTGTGCTGAATTCAGCAAAAATAATGTTTAGGGTAGAAGGTTAGATATAACCTCTTTTCTAACCTCTTTTCTACCCCAGTTATTTTATAAGCGTTTTACATGGTAAACATTGTGAATTCGTGAAATTCTAAACAATTTCGTAGCTTCTATTTCTTCACGAAGGATATCGAATGTTTTAACAATGCCGAAGGTTTCTTTATATTTCTTCTTGACATCTGAAAGAAGGAAATCGTCAGCTGTTGGATAGTTTTTGTTTAGAAATGTCAACATGTCCATTTTATCTTCTGCTGGTTTCTCTGCCTCCCTCTTTAAGTCAGCATAGTCGTTTCGCATACGTTCTATCTCTTTGACGGAGTAGTTATATTTCCTCATTGCTGCTTTACATTTAGAACATTGTGGGTTCATTTTTGCGTTATATTCTGAAACCTTACCTGCTAGTATGACTAAGGCGTCAATTGCTCTCTTTAACTCAAAAGTTGCGGGTTTTATCTGTTCATTCCATATCTTACCTCTTCTATCTTTATCTCTTATCTGCCATACACATTCAGCAACTAACGAAACAAAGTTGTCGTAGGTCTTAAACTCCCCAGATTTGTATATGTCAGAGATGTTCTTATATACCATATCGCAATCTTTGTCCATGACTTTGTGGTTGCAATGAAATCCAAGAAACTCATAGTTAACCTTTCGTATGAACTTCTTTATTTCTACTGAGTCAGTTGCTTTGACTTCTATTTCGTCGAATTCAGGAATAGTTAGTTTTTGTTGCTGAATTTCAGGTAGTTTAGGCAAATGGTCAATAATGTCCTGCATTTCATAAAGATACTGTTCATTTGTTTCATCTTTTGCAGTGCAATCTAAATCTCCTTGGAGAAGTTCTTGCTTTATCTTCTGGATTTCTGTTTCGAAAGTATATGAAGAAGGAATGAAGCTTTTCATTTCTACTAACATAGATGTTGGATTCATGACTAACGAGTTTGGTGCTGTTGTTGCTAACATGTTCTTACAATAAAAATAAAAAAATATTTTTTTAAAAAAACCAACTTTATTTTTTATTTCGGGAAAACTCATGAGGTTAGAAAACATGTACGAAGAAGTCTTGACAAAACATTTACGATGAAATCATGACAAAACATTTACGATGAAATCATGACAAAACATTTACGATGAAATTCATGAAAATTCAAGAGGGTAGAAAAGAGGTTAGAAAACAGGTTATATCTAACCTTCTACCCTAAAATATATTTTTGCCGAAAAAAATGGTTCATTTACTCACAATATTTTTGTACAAAACGACCCCAAACTTTTAACTTCTTTTCTGCAGCTTCTAATGTTATCTTAGCGAGTTCATATTCTCTAAATTCTCTCTTTAAATCTTCTTGTTCCCATTGGTCTAGTTCGTATGGAGAATCTCTATAACCAGAACATATCTCACGTTCATGTTCTATTTGTTTTTCATGCATTTTTCTAACTTCTTCTTCAAACAAAGGTTTTGCATTCTCTACTGTATCTTCAAGTTCTTCTTCATCTAACTTCTCATGAACTTTCTTGTCTATGGAGTCCATAATTTTTCCAACTGCTATACAATATTTTGGAGAAGCCCACATTGCAATATAGTTTACGAGTCTTGGGTCTACATACATTCCTCTAACCTGTTTGATTTCATCAGGAATTCCTGCATTAACATTGTATAAAAAGCAACCCGCGGAATTCCGCGGGGTGGTATATTCTTCACAAAATGCCTTAAAATACTCTTCCCAGGACTTATTTTCCAACAACCTTCTAAAGTCTTTCCTAAACTGCTGACACATCTTTGTTGCATTTATATAACCATCCTTGTCTCTACGTAAGACTTCAATACCGTTGTAAGTGCCTTTTGTGAATGTTTCGCCATTAGATTTGTTCGTGAACGTTTTTGCTTCGACTGACATTTCTGTTCTTACAATAAAAATAAAAAATATTTTTGGCTTAACCGTCGGACATTCGTTTGTGGCTTAACCGTCGGACCACAACGATAAAAATCTCTGCTACTAGCAGTACTGCTACTGACAGTAGCAGTACTTTTACTGACAGTAGCAGTACTTTTTCTGACAGTAGCAGTACTTTTACTGACAGTAGCAGTACTTTTACTGACAGTAGCAGTACTTTTACTGACAGTAGCAGTACTTTTTCTGACAGTAGCAGTACTTTATCGTCGAAAACCCTCTCAAATTTTCCTTTTTACTGCAACTAGCAGTACTTTTACTGACAGTAGCAGTACTTTTACTGACAGTAGCAGTACTGCTAGTAGCAGAGATTTTTATCGTCCAACTTTACAAATGTAAACTCCTATCGTTCTATTTTCTTCACTAGGGTCTAACACCAAAGTAACCTTACAAATGTAAACTTATATCGTTCTATTTTCTTCACTAGGGTCTAACACCAAAGTAACCTATGTACATGAAATTTCACTGCATAAAAGGAAAAAACCTGCGCGAATCGGGATTTGAACCGAGGTCTTCGACGCCTGTAGCGAGGTAGCCCATACCACTGAGCTATGAGCCGCTTGCATATTTTTAAGTAAAATATAGTATATTTGTCATATAGTGAAGGATGACCAAACTTAAAAAAAATAACGCTAAAATATATTTTTTTCTATCTTAAGGAAATTCATGAAAATTCAAGAGGGTAGAAAAGAGGGTAGAAGACAGGTTAGATCTAACCTTCTACCCTAAAATATATTTTTCAGTACTTTTTCAGCACTTTTCCGTAGTTGTATATGAAAGACAATTCGAGATAAAAGTCATAGTACAAAGGTATAATATGCTGCACACCGTTTGTAGTGAACCAAACTTGAAAGTCAGAGAAACTGTTACTAGGTGGTTCGTAGAATTTAGAAGCAAAGTCATAAAAGTCCTTACCGATACATAGAAAACTGTTGTTGCTTGAACTGAAACTTGCATGACACATGACATTTTGAGGGTCAAACACGTTTCTATAAACTGTCAAATCTGTTGGTGGGCGTATAAATTTAAACGGACCGTCAGGTGGTAATGGTTCGTTCTGGTTTAGTAACCGAAGAAATTGCGCCCAAGAACGTTTGTCTACTTCCCAAAATAAAAACTGTGTACTTCTTCGAGGGTTAATTTCAATCCTTTGAAATGAAACTGTGGAGTTCATCTTGTCATATTCTAGTTTCAGATAGTATGTTCCATTTAGTAAAGAGTCGTATTTTTCTTGAAATTCCCAGTAGTATTTGTTTATTTGAGTTTGAAAGTCATTTAGAGTTTTCTCAAGACTTTCGTCTGAACGAACTGTAAAGATTCTCATTTCGTCAAATTTGTCTATTAGACCATCAGAACCTTCATACTGCCCATGAAAATATACTGCAAACATAAAAGCGTTAGTTCTATTTGAAAACAAAACTCTTCTAAATCCTATTGCCTTTGCATCTGAAGGACTTTGAAGCCAACGAATTGGATAGTCAAACCTGTATGAACGGGATGAAATTTCTTCATCTGATATATTCCTACCCGCGTTTGTAAAGATATAGTCTAACGGTTTTGTATCTGCTACTTTTGTTCTTTGTTTTTCAACCTGAAACATTTAATATATGTAAAAATATATGGTTTTAAAAAACGTTTTACTTCATGCAATGTTTTACTTCATGCAACGTTTTACTTCATGCAATGTTTAACTATTTCACCATCTTCTTTAACAGCCCAATACTTACGCTTGGAGAGGACATGAACTTCGGAAAATACCTTATCTAGCTTAAAACAGCCCATCTTTTCACCGACCATGCCCATTTCAATGAGTTTGTTGTACCCTTCTTCGTTCGTCATGAGTGCGTCGATGTTCTCATAGTAAACCACAATTTTGGATTTGACCTCGGAGAAAAATTTGTTGTAGTTGTCAAGGACTGCCTTTGCGAACTGAGGGTAGGACCAATGTTCGACAATAGGTTTTACTGTGGTTACTAAGCCACTTTCACCTTCGGTAAATTCGTACTTCAAAACAAAAGGAGAAAACCTTTCAACAAAGTTGTCGACCTTCTCATAATGTTTACTCTTCATCTCTTGAGGTTTCTTAATGGAATATCCCCATGTCGAATTCATAAGCAATTTGAGTGTCATTGCAAGTTTGGGGTTTGAAGCTTTCCTAATATCATACAGTTGTTGTATGACTTTTCCAACTGTATAGTTCCTTCCCGAGAACTCACCGTCTTCGTTTGGAATTCCAGTCGGGATATATTGGACAAACCTCATGTATGCAGCGTTAAGGTCGACATAGTATATCTTTTCATCTGAGTCGAACTTGTCGCAACCAATTGGTCCAGTTCGTGGAAATTCAAGTGAGTCTCTTATCTTCTGAGAAACTTCTCCTGTTATCTCATAAACATCGTCGAAGCAACCTGTTTCATATAAAACCTTCTGACCTAACTCAGATGCTCTCCAATACAATTTGACGTCAATTGGATGTCTCAATGGAAGTTTGTTTATAGCATCTTGAAGTTCTTGCAACCTCATTGGAAGTTCTTCTGGTTCAGGTTGGTATCCGAACAATCCAACTCCTTTTGGAATTGTGTACTTCTTTTGTACTAGAACTTTGTCTGGAACAACTTTTGGTCTTGCTAACAATGAAAAGTTTGTTTCGTCTTTTGGTACAAAAGTTTCTGTCAGCTTGTCATCTGGAATCGGTTCCAACAAACCTTTCTCGAAAAGAATGTTTACAGCTCTGACAATGTTGCACTTGCCTTTTCCGAACAATGGGTTTGTAAGACTTTCGTTCAACATGAAGTGGTTGTGGACAATTACAATCTTCAACCATGGTAAGTCTTTGTCAACAACATAGTCGTCATGTGAAGAACCTTTAGCTGTAGGTATGTTGACTCGGATATTGACATTTGCCAACGGTGCAATTTTTGCCAATTGACCTCTGAGAATGTACCTTGTCTTCACACATGACTCAAGATACTTCATCTTCTCATCTGTAACAAACCAGAGTTCCTGAGACATGTAAGAATGCAAGGTTCATTGACAATTGTTTCAATTGAATTGTAAATTCCATACCTTGTCAAGTCAATGTCAGACTTATTTATGAACGGAAAGTATCCAGCATGTTGTCTGACTGCTTGAGGGTTAGGTTGGTACCATTCAAATTTTACACTTGCAATTCCTTCAATTGCATTCAAAATGTCTGAGTCGGAGTCAACCATTTGTTCTCTCTTTGTAGTCTTGAAAGCGTCAAGAAGCATTGCAGCTGTTGTGACATTGCCATGTGCATAGTAAATGTGACCATCCAAATCTGTTATGGTCAATCTGAGATTGTATCCTTTCTTATTTCCATCTTGTATGGCAGCAAGTACACCCATGAAGCCTTCTTTGTTCTTTCCTTCGTCAAAGTTTACTGTAAAGGTTCGACCAGATGTAATTTGACTTCTAACTTCACGGTACTTTTCATATGCATATCTTGTTCTTTCCATGGGAGCATGTTTGTCTTCACCTTTTCCTTTTTTCCTTCTCAAAGGATGCAATTGTTCGTCATGTTTTCCAGTAGAATCTGGCAAAGCCGTCGTGTCCTTCAACTTGAGGCTCACTAACATCGAAAGGCATGTCCATAAGACGTTCTTCTTCTAACCTCTCTAGTCTGTTTGGATAATTTGCGCGTGCTGTTTCCAAATCCATTTCGTAGCGAAGACCAGACAATTTGTCATAGACTTTTATGGGTCTTCCCTTCCTATATTTAAACTTCTTTGAAACTCTCCAACCATATCTTTCTAACTCTGCTTTTATTCTAGCAGATTTTCTATCCATTCTATATAGAGGCATTTTTTATAAAAATAAAAAAATATTTTTTTTCTTTACTTTACATAACCACCAGCTACCATAAGCCTTTGACGCCAACCCATACCAGCTAATGAAGGTTGAATACTAACCTTTGGTTTTGGTTTATCTTCAGTTTTTGGCTTCCCTTCTTCTATTGGTTTTTCGTCACTTTTCGGTTCCTCTGACTTTACCTCACTTGCTGGAATAGTTGTGTCGTCACATTCGTAAATATCATATGCCATCTGTTTTTGTTTTCCTTTCAACTTTTTGTGTTTGTTGTAAAGTTTAGAATATTTCGACTCTAAGTCAATGAGATGTTCTATAATGAACTGTTGGTCAGTGAAGAATACCTTCCCATCTGTTGTCTCGAAATTCCTTCCGACTTCAATATTTTATTTGTGAGAGTCTGTTCTTTTTTGAGATACTAGCCGTTCCATTTCTATGAAAAGTGACTTTATAGTTAGGGTTTGTATTTCCAGACCTGGCACTTTCTATTATTGAATTTTTCTCTTCATCTGTAAGTTCTTTGACAGGTTTTGACAATGGTTCTGAACTTTTTGTTTGTGGTGTCAAATCTACGTTTCAACTTCTTCGGTCATTTCATCTCAGTAAAAAATTTAGTTTGGTTTGTTTTTCAACTGGTTGTTTAGGTTTTTTAAGTCGGTCTAAAACTTCTTGAGGTATAGGAAGAACTTGACAAACACGTGGTTGTGTAACTGCTGGAAGCCGACAAATCCATCTTGAGCCCATTTGTCTCAATGCTGTATTGTTCATTTCATCTCAGTAAAAAACTTTACATTCCCCAAGTTTGAGGTGGTTGAGGTTGGTTATTGTTTACCCATTGTTGTGCATGGTTATATCCTCTGTTAAAGAATCTTTCACCTTGGTCCATATAGTGTCCTGCTTGTTATAGTAGTCATTTGCTTTGTTATAATAGTTTTCCTGCTTCTCTTCCTACATTGTCCATCCATCCTTGAACTTTTCCTCTTGTTTCAGGATTTGGAATAGATTTGCTGCATCTCGTGCTACATCCCAACCTTTCTGTACAGTTTGTATAATAGGTTGTGCTTTCTCTTTAAGTATACCTAATGTACTCAAAATCTTCCTTCCAACTCCAAATACACCTCTGGCTATTGTTCCCACTGCGGGCAAAAATCTGGATGCAACTCCTGCTAATGCGCCAAATAAACCCATTTCTTATAGGGTAAAAAATGACGAATCCAAACAAGGACCCCTATGTTTCTAAAGCGACAAAGAAAGCACTCATGGTAAAAATCTTTAGTTCAACACCAAATGCTTGGTTTATGGATATCTTGGAAAACATTCCGAGAGTTAGAACAGATGGACCACCATACTGGCTAATATTGTCGGTCAAAACACAAGATACTGTGAAGCCATACCATTACAGTCCAAAAATATTTTAGATGTGAAAACTGCTTTGACAATATTCGTTGACAAATACCATCCAACAAAACTGACATCTGACTGTGAAAGTTCTTTCAAATCAGACGATATTAAAAACTATCTGCGTTCAAAAAATGTAAACCAATATTTCATTGTCGACCAAAACCATTCTGCTCTTGGTGTCATTGACAGTTGTATAAAAATCTTAAAGACTTAAACCAACCACAAGGTGGTGAAGCAAATGAAATGTCATATGACGACAAGTACAGACATTTCTCCATGGCAAAGATGAGACAAGTTTTAAATATTTACAATAGCCGTAAACAAAAAGGTTTGGGAAACCACTCCCCCGAAGAAATGAAAAACAACCCTGACTTAGAGAAAGACTATATATTTAATAGTTTAGTCAAAAGAGACAAACAAGAAAGAATGCCAGGCTTCAAACTTCAGAAAGGTGACAAAGTAAAAATAGAAATACCTAAACGCGACCCATATGAAAATACTATTGACTATGACAACAATGGAACTCGACAGGTACTCGCATTCGTGTTCGTAAAAATAGAAGAAAGTATACAAGAGAATATATTATGAAGTTTTAGGCAAACATGGCAAAATGTACAGACTGCAAGCAGAAGATAAAACTACTATTGTCAGACCTCGTTTCAAACTTGTTAAGGTTCAAGGTGGTATACTTTCAAAGACAGTTCCTAACAAATATAAGACAACTCCTGACGAATATGCTAAAGAAGTTGAAAATGACGACTAAGCATTTCTATACCATGCGTAAACTGTCATGTAAGGTGGCATGTAGTCTTTACTCTGTCCCGTTGTTTGCGTATAGCCTGAAACGCGATGTGTATGGCTTCCTCCTACCTCAGTGTTACTCCAGTAACAATTTATAGCAAACTTAACGTCCTCTTTAACATCATATCCTTTACCTTTTGTCATTCCTGACCAATCCCAAAATCTATGACTATGCAAACCTGCTTCAGATGTACTTAAATTTATGTAGTGACTGTGCGCAGGTAAATTTGCACCTGAAATCGTTTTACTTCCGCCTGTTTCCTTTGAAGAGTTTGCACAATACAAAAACCTGTCGACTATTTGAGTCCAAGTTCCAAAACCAAGTACTACTTCTGGTTTGGTAGAGTTCATTGACGTGTA